TCCACCGAGCCACAACGGAAGCAGTCCTGAGGCCTCTGCCCTCCCTTGCACGGCTTGTTCTTCTTAGCCGGGGCGGGGGGGGTGAGGGCCCTTCTTCTTGCCCTTGCGGCCCCACTTCTTTTGTTGAGGCTTGCGGACTTTGAGAGCGTTCACCTCCTAGCGAGAACTCCCCCCAAGTGGTTGCGCGACAAAATTCTTTTTGAGAACCTCGTCCTGCGCCTCCGCCAACTGGAGGACGTCAATCAACTCTGAATACCTCGTGTAGTTCCCCTGGCGGTAGTTCCGTGAGGACTGGACCGCGTCGGGGTGGAAAGTGGATAGGGTTTTCTCAATCTTCTGGGAGTCGGTAATCTCAGTACCACACAACCGAAGAGTCGTACAAATCCGGTGCAGATTCGAATTGTACTCCCCAACCGTCTTGAAGTCCGCAAACCTCAGACGGATCCACTCTGCCTCTGCACGTGGCTTCACAGTGTACTTCGGCCGCTCAAACCGCTGCTTAAGAGCGGTCCAAAGGCCAGAAGCACTGCGCTCAGCCATATACTCATCTTTCAGAGTAGGTGACAAGTGATGACGGAGAAAGTGCAGAGCCTGCGCATTCTCAGTTTCGAACTTGGGATCAGTGGCGGCCAGCTGGGCCCCCTTACCGATCGCCCTCAGGAGGGTTTTGCCTTGGAGAAAAATCTCACAATCCGAGGACCATGACAGGTAGTTCAGCCCTATCTGGGCCAACTCAGGAAACTCCTTGTTGACAATTCCAGCCATCTGCAATTTATGCAAAAATCATGAGATTACAGCAGGTAATCTTTTGCACAAAGCGATGTTGATAAACTTATTCAGTAAAATGACGTTCCATTATCTAAAACATACTATTATATGACTTAATAAATGATTAAGAGTGCTAAACAATTTATCTACAGCAGTAAAATCATACAATAATATCATGTTACAAAAGATAGCATGTTAAGCGCATCTAGTATGTGAAGACTAGCCCAAAAATTGAATTCCCGAGGCATTTTTAAGCCCAAATACGTGTTTTTAGCGAAAACAGACAGTTCCAGGGGCTTCTACGTGAAATATTACAGTGGGAATAAAAACTCGCATAAAATCTGGAAACTACGGGGGCTAAACCGCAAATTGCCGCGCTACAGCTGGCGCCCCTTTTTCTGGAGGAACCCCCACGGCCACGGCCCATCCGGCCCAGGAGCCAGCGGGCCGTCCCATGCGCGCGCAGCGACGCTAGGGTTTCCCTAGCGCCCGAGCGGCGGCTCGCCCGTGGGCACCCGTGCCGGACGCGACTGGGGCTGGCCAGGTGCGCTCGCGGGGGCGGCGACCTGCATCGAGCAGGGCTAGGTGAGGCGATGGCCAGAGGCGCGGCGCGACCACGCGGGGCGGCGCGGCCGGGCGGTGCGGCGCGGCTAGGTGGCGCGGCACAGCCAGCGGAGCGCGCGGGCACGACGCGGCCAGCAAGCTGGGGCGGCGTGTCGCGGCCAGTAGGGCGCGCGGCCACGGCGCGGTCAGCGGGACGCGCGACCACAGCCACGGCGCGGCCAGCGGGGCTCGCGGCCATGGCGCAGCCAGCGGGGCTGCGGCCAGCAGGGCTCGGCGGCGACGACGGTGTCAGCGGGACGCAGTGCGGCGTACGCGACCAGCGGGAGCGAGGACAACACGACGTCATCTGGACGCCGGCCTCGGGATGTGTATCTTCGTCGCGTTCATCCGCAAAAACGATGGCGCATGGCACATCTGGTGCTTTTGCGGCGGTACCGCAATCATCTGGATCGTGATCTGTACCGACTCCCTATAGTGCAGTCAACAAGTTTCTCTTAGTCCAAGAACATCGACATTGGTCGGCGACGTGTTCGTCCACTCAGTTCTTGGGAGAAAAATCCACACCATAGGTAGATCAAATCCGAAAAATAATCTAATCGCAAAAACGGAATCGCAATAACGAGGGGAATCCTTTTTTTTGCAAAAGTGGGGATCGGATCTTATACCTCCGCGGGATCGACGAAAGCCTGCGTGATGTAGGCGTGACGCAGGCTTGACGGAGAGTTGATGGAGCGAAGCGTGCTGATAACGTGTTCCGCAACTCCACCGGCGAGTCCGGTCCAAGGTTGTGGAGCGAGAGCGAGCATCGTAGACGAAGTAGTCGAAGTAGTCGAACACGCGAAAGTAAATGACACAGAGAGATATGAAAAAGACCAGCTTTATTAATCAATGATCAAGGGGTTACAATGATGACTCTTCATTGCTTTACATAAAAACTAGGGGGTCAAGGGGTAAATACCCACATAACGTAAAGTGGGGGAAATGGGAAGGGCTATCCAGTGCGACACGCACGAGGCCGCGGCCACCACTCGGTGGCCCCGGTTTCCCAACAAAATGAACTCTCCGGGTAAGGGATCAGCACGCGGCAAGGTTTGCGGATTGGAGTCTTGGAGAAGTTTTATTTTGTTTGAATCTGCAACGGTGGTGGTAGTTGTTGGACCTGGACCTGTTGCCTTGTCGTTGGAGGGACGTTAAATGTTTGGATGGACGTTAAACAACACTGGAGGGACGTTAAATGTTTAGTTCCGTTGTCCCTTGTTTCGTAAACTGCTCACAAATCTGCAGTTGGGTGATTCATGTTTGGACACACAAACAAGTGCATCATTGAACAGACTTTCCTATATAAAATGTTTGGATGTTAAATTTTACGTGGTTGTTTTTTCCCTATATAAAATTTCTGGTTCATGTTTTCCTTCGTCGGTCGAGTCAGTTAAAGTAGTATGCTGAAAGCTTTGGTTTTATGGTGAACATTTTGAGTAACCCGATCGAGAAGCATATGCTCCCTCCCTTTGGATTTGTAATAGTACTCACAAATGAGTGGTGAACACCTTTTTTTGTGGACACATGTCGAAATCACTAATTAAGGAGTACTTTTTGCGGAGATCATTCCAAGTTTCTCAGGTTGTGACAAGTGGCACGCTGCATGTGCGTCACTTGTCGCAACCCGGGAGTTTTCCCTTTTTTCGTAGATTTGTTTATTCAAAACGTTTTATCTCTTAAACCGTGCGTCCAAATCTCGAACCGCTTTCGCTGTTGGATTCCTCGTGTTGAGATCTTCAAAACTAGATCCCATGTTGATAGGTTTTGATGAACTTTTTTTCACGAAAAAAACGGACAAAAAAACCGACGAAAAACCGAACCGAGAACACGGTTTTTTTTTCCTTTTCAAAAGAGGCACGCCCGTGTTTCTGACAAAATCACAACCGTGCCTCTCGCGGAAGCAAAACGTGCCTGTCGCAAAAGAAAAAATAATCAAAAAACGCGTTTTTTTCCTTTCCGAAAGAGGTACGCCCGTGCCTCTTGCGGAAGCAAAACCGTGCCTCTTGCGGAAGCAAAACCGTGCCTCTCGCGAAAGAAAAAAACAAAAAACGCGTTTTTTTCTTTTCCGAAAGAGGCACGCCCGTGCCTCTCACGAAAGCACAACCGTGCCTCTCGCGGAAGCAAAACCGTGCCTCTCGCGAAAGAAAAAAACAAAAAACGCGTTTTTTTCCTTCCGAAAGAGGCACGCCCGTGCCTCTCGCGAAAGCACAACCGTGCCTCTCGCGGAAGCAAAACCGTGCCTCTCGCGGAAGGAAAAAGAAACAAAAAACACTTTTTTTCCATTTCCAAGTGGCACGGCCGTGCCTCTCGTGAAAGCACAACTGTGACTCTCGCGAAAAAAATGCATTTTTTTGTGCAAAAAAATTATTTTTTTCAAAAAAAAAATTTGGTCGAAAAGTTAGGGAAGACCGGTAGAAAACCAAAACGTCAAAAAAACCGAAAAAAATCGTTTAAAAAGCCGAAAACGCGTGCGTAAAAAAATCCGGAGGAAGCGCCCAGAGCGCGACACGTGATGAATAGCTATGGGGGCGCCAAGTGACGCTGATCGTTGCGAGGCTCCCGAAGGAGCGCTCGTTAATTAGTTGCTCCCGACAGATGTCAGCAAATGTTTTTTTAGGGGTAGCAAATGCAAGAGAGCCTATATGCTGCCCGTTTCTCTACTGAAGGCCCACGAAGGATATGCTGCCCATGTAGCTTTTAGGCCCGGTGACAAACATGAGAAATGGGACAGGCCTCTGAGAGAACGCAAACGCGGAGAGAGTCGAACTCGCCGCCGCTTTCCTCGCTGCCGGCGGCGCTCCCCATCTGCTGCCGAGGCTTCTTCTGCCCGTCATGCCACCGCCACTGATATGCGTCTCCTCCTCCTCCCCATCTTCACGCCTCGCGCCTGCGTTTAACATCGCCGCACCAGAGACCTGAGGTCGAAAGCCAAGTCAACCCACAACCCGGCGCGCCGCCGCGAGCTGCTCCGACGGAGCTCCACCTCATTTCTTGGCGCACTTTTTTTTGCGAGAATTTCCTAGCATACTTTCTGTTAACCCCTGCTTGTCGCCCCGACGGCGCTCACCAATTTCAGTTTTGTTGTGGTTGTGAAGTGTGAACCCTTACTTGTTGACTGACTGTGGCTGTACTTGTGAACCCTTGCTTAGCGGCAAGGGTGCTGGATGGCGAAATCTGAATATCTCTGGCAGTAAATTTGACTGGTTGCCGTGCAGGTCCAAGTCCACGGATCCACATGGCACAGATTTTCTTCATGACGACAGTGACCGACGCCCCGCGACGGCTGCAAATCGGGACAGGTGACCGCTGGGTTTCTCTGTGCTTGATTCAGTCAGGCAACACAGCCCGGATGATGTAGCCTGTGAGATATTTCTAGTTTCTTGATCTTCAATGCACCACGGAGACCTCGCAGTCTTGTGTACACACCTGCCTTTCCTATCAATCAGGGCTGGACTTTTGTGTGGCCAACCGGATACAAAACCTGTGCAAATGTGAGAAGCCACATCAATCAGGAATACCAAAACTCTGAGACAGTACTTCAGCTCCTACCTCGCACATTTGAGCCGTCCAAGCAAACAGTCTGAAGCATCTCCTTACTTTCCTCTTCACAAGCATATGCAGAAGGCCTAATGGGCATGACTCCGCTCCCTGTTTTTATCCTCCTGTTATGGATTTGCTTTTGCAACTCCGAGGATCGCCTAACACCAGCAAAGCCACTCTCCATCGGCGACAGGCTCATCTCAAATGGTGGCATCTTTGTTCTTGGCTTCTTCTCCCCAAGAAACTCAACTGCAAACTCATATGTTGGCATATGGTACCACAACATCCCCGAGCGAACATACGTGTGGGTCGCAAACCGCGACAGCCCTATCACTGGCAGCTCCCCTGGTAAGTTTCTCGTGACCAACAGCTCTGATCTTGTCTTCTTAGACTCCAAAGGAAGCACTCTTTGGACAACCAGGAACAACATCACCACTGAAGCCCCCGGAGCTGCTGCCATACTGCTGGACTCTGGGAACTTGGTCATCAGGTTGCCGAATGGCACAGATATATGGCAGAGCTTCCATCACCCAACCGACACCATTCTCCCAAATATGAGTTTACAGCTGAGCAACAACAACAACCTCTCCACGCACCTCGTTGCCTGGAGGGCCCCTGATGACCCATCTACGAGTGACTACTCCTTGGGTGGTGACTCCAGCCTCCAGATCCTCGTTTGGAATAGGACGAGGCCATACTGGCGCAGGGCTGCGCTCGACGGTGTATTAGTCTTCGCCATGTATCAGAGCAAGTCAGGTCCCATCATGTCCCAAACAATTGTGAACAGAGGTGGTGAGTTCTACTTGACGTACACTGTCTCTGATGGCTCAGCAAGCATGCGCATGGTGCTGCACTACACGGGCATGGTGAAATTCCTGGCGTGGAACAGCAGCTCATTATCTTGGGATGTTTTCTTTGAGCGCCCTGGTTCTAGCTGTGACCGCTATGCCTCATGTGGCCCATTTGGCTATTGTGACGCCACACAGGCGGTTGCGACGTGCAAGTGCCTCGATGGATTTGAACCTGTTAGTCTTGACTTTTCCCTAGGATGTCAGAGAAAGAAGGAGCTGAATTGTGGTCAAGGAGATAGTTTCATTACCTTGCTTAACATGAAGACGCCCGACAAGTTCTTGTACATCAGGAATAGAAGCTTTGACAAATGCGCAGCAGAATGCAGCCGCAACTGCTCATGCACTGCATATGCTTACGCTAACCTGAGTAATCTCGGTATGACTGTAGACCAGTCGAGATGCTTAGTTTGGATGGGGGAGCTTGTTGACACAGAGAAGCGTGGTGATGGTCTTGGGGAGACTCTGTACCTCCGGATTCCCAGCTCATCTGGTATTTGCTCATTGCCCACCTTATTGCTTGTACTGTGTGATGGATTGCCTACTAACGTAAGATTATTTATGTGGCTAATACATGTATACCACTAAGTTTACTAAGGTGGCTAGTACAATTAAAGCACACGGTAGTTACAGTTATGTTCAGTTGATCTTTCTTCCGCATTTGTGCTGTCCTGTTACAGTGTGAGGTCGCATAACGAAATTTACCGTTCGATCAAAATCATAGGACTTAGAATATTATGTTTTGTTCGTGCATATATTATCAGTCAAACTAATACCTGGTCTGTTCTCCCTGCCTTGCATCAAAGTCAGACGTGTTTCCAGATTCTACTTCTCTATAATCCTATAAGTTGCAACATCTTCACCAGTGTTTCTGAATTTTACCATTTCAGCTGTAAATATTTACGTGCTCATGAGCCTATATGCTAGCGTGTTTGGTGACAACGGGCAATTTTGCACTAGATATATCATATGCAGTATATATCTACATATGTTTTTGCTTTTTTTGAAGATATATATGTTTTTTCTCTGTCTCTTTTGTTCCCCTTTCCCTTCAATCTACCCTTGTATAGTAAGTCTTCTATCTGTTGTCTTTTGCAGTCAGTAAGAAGACTGGTGCACTGAAGATTGCACTCCCAGTCATGGCAAGTCTACTGGTACTTGTGTGCATTTGTCTTGTCTGGATATGCAAGTCGAGAGGTTGAGCACGATTCAATTATGTTTCCAAGTGCATGCCATGTTAATGCATTAGTGATTAATATAACTGATATTAATTCTTGGCAGGCAAGCACCAAACCAAGGCACCCATGAATTTTGCCATGTCAGAACAACTGGGCAATTCTTATGAACTATATGATCAAAATTCAGAATTTCTGTGGATTAACTTCAATGACATCATCACTGCTACGGATGGTTTCTCTGACTCCAATGTGCTTGGAAAAGGAGGCTTTGGCATAGTATACAAGGTAACATTTCACTTGGACGATTATGGTAGTGAAAGGCACTCTTTCAGTATTAATCTGAGTTATGCAACCATGCAGGGCACACTGGAAGGTGGCAAGGAAGTTGCTGTTAAAAGGCTTACCAAGTATTCTGATCAAGGAATGGAACATTTTAGAAATGAAGCAGTTCTTATTGCAAAACTGCAGCACAGAAACTTAGTTAGACTTCTTGGTTACTGCATCCATGGAGCTGAGAAGCTTCTTATTTATGAATACTTACCCAACAAAAGCTTAGACTACTTCCTATTTGGTATGTCCTAATCATGTATAATAATTCTTTAGTTGAGCAAAGGAGCATGCCTGATTTTAAGACTAACATGGCTTCACATGCTTTGTTGCTGGCATACAGATGATGCTAAAAGATGTATGCTTGATTGGCCAACAAGGTATAGCATAATCAAAGGGGTAGCTAGAGGACTTGTGTACCTCCACCATGATTCGAGAATGACGATAATTCACAGAGATCTCAAAGCAAGCAACATCTTGTTGGATGTGGAGATGAGACCCAAAATATCAGATTTTGGCATGGCAAGGATCTTTGGTGACAACCAGCAACAAGCAGATACTAGACATGTTGTTGGGACATAGTGAGTAGTACCTCCTACACTAGAGTAACCATGCTTAAAATAATTATTTATGTTCTTTAACTAATACATTTTTGTGCACTTGCTTGTGAAATGATTCAAACAGCGGTTACATGTCGCCTGAATATGCGATGGAAGGCATTTTCTCTGTCAAGTCCGACACATATAGCTATGGGGTCTTGCTACTGGAGATTGTAAGTGGGTTGAAGATCAGCTCACGTCCCTATCTTATGAGAGACTTCCCGAACCTCATAGATTATGTAAGTGCTACAAAACCAAATGTTTCGAGTTTGACCAACTCAAGTACAACATGGCAAAAACAAATACTAACTTATTACCCATCACCATGTTTCAGGCTTGGAACTTCCTGGAAGAAGGAAAATCAGGGGATTTCATGGACACGGTGCTTCTGAAGAGTTGTTCACTGCGTCAAGTGTCATTGTGCATCCACATAGCATTATTGTGTGTTCAGGACAGCCCGGGTGCCAGGCCACTAATGTCGCTAGTCGTGTCTATGCTGGACAACGAGGCCATGCCACTCACGACTCCAAAGCAACCTCTGTATTTCATTGGAAGGAGACATGAAGCAGTAGAAGCGACGGAGGACTCTGTTAACAGCGCGGGCCTGACAACGCTAGTAGGACGCTAGATGCCTAGCATCCGCTATGCTTGTCTGCAATGTGGTGACCTGAGTGCCCTGGAACATCAAAGGAAGCAGATTACCATTGACTGCCAAGTGGATTTCAGTAACCAGCTGCAGGTGGCGCTCCAATGCAAGCCGGTTAAAATTACTGGTGTGCTGACATTGAGTCTTTGACTGATAAACTTGTTAGGCGCTCAAATGCAACTGAAGCTGAACTGTCAGCTTGTTAAGAAGGACTCATCAGGCTTGGTGCTTCAGTGGCACACGCACCCAGCCTTTGCTGGAAACTGATCGCTCTTCTGATGTCCAACCCATTCTCTTGCATGCTGAAAATCCATCAGAAAAGGGTCAAAAGGGAGGGAAGGGAGGTTGCACATTCGTTAGCTATCCGAATATATGCCATATGGAAAATATTTCATGACCAATCTAATGGTATTGATTTGGTATTGTAAATGCTGATATTTTTTCTGTAAACTTGGTTAATGTTGACAAAGTTTGGCTTTGAAGAAAAAGCTCACATGCAACTATAATTTAGCCATGCGGAAGAATCATTGTCGTGACCTTGACCAAAAAAAAAACTATAATTTTTCTTTTTGACAAGCCAACGGCAGGAGCTCTGCCTTTTTTCATTAAAGTCAGGGGGAAAAACTGTACAATCACTGGAAGCCCAGTTACAGATGTAAGAAAGAAAAACCAGGGAAGACCTTACATGGGACTACTCGCAAAAGAAAGGACCTACAAAAAGCAGGTCGTCACGGATAAGAGAGACCACAGTGCTCACAGTAGCGTTCTTTCCCTCAAAAATCCTGCTGTTCCTCTCCTTCCAGAGATGCCAAACCGTGTATATAGCCATTGTGATGTTTGCAGTCTCTTCCTTTTTCTTGCTGTACCTAGAAATCTTCCTCCACCATCCAGAGATAGAGGTAGAGCCCAAGGCAGTTGTTGTGGTCGAAGGATGCGAGGAGGAGAAGGCAAACCATACTTCCTTGGCGAAAGGGCACTTTAGCAGTAGATGATTAATGGATTCCATCTCTTGATCACAAAGGCAACAAAGGTCATCATGAGGCCAGCCTCGCACAACAAGGCGGTCAGCTGTCCATACTCTGTTTTGCAAAATTAGCCAAATGAAGAATTTTATCTTGCCCTCCGCTTTGGCATCCCAGACCTTGTGCAGACGAGGGTTCAAAATCCGGCCATGGTATTGAGCTTCATAAGCAGAGCTGGCTGAGTAGATAGAGTTGGCAGTTAAGGTCCAGGTTATCTTATCCTCGAGCTGTGTGAGTGTGACAGATTGCACTCTTTCCCAGATGGAGATGAGAAGGTCAAGTTGCAATTCCGTTGAAATTCTCTGGAGCCCCCTCACCCAGCTATTGTTTTGGAGACCCTCCCTCACACAAATCTTTTTTCGGTAGGATAGCTTGAACAGCCCCGGAGCAAACACCTTGAGCGAGCAGTCCAGCAGCCATTTATCCTCCGAGAACGAAATTTTTCCACCATTGCCCAGGGCCAGCTTGGTGCAGGCAGCAAAAAGGCTTCGATCGGTCGCATCACATGGTACTTGCAGCCCCTTCCAGGGACGAGGATCCACATCCCATTCGTGCCACAACCATCGCAGCCGCATGGCTCTGCTGTGCTTATCCAGATCTTTGATCCCCAAACCACCGTAAGCCTTAGGGGAGCAGACTTTTGTCCAGTTGACAAGGCACTTGCTCCCAGAGGCCTCCTCCTCCCCGCACCACAGAAAGCTCCTGCGGATCCTGTCTATTTTCTTGAGCAACCATTTGGGAGGGGGAAAAATGGTGAGAAGGTATGTAGTGAGGGCGGTTAGGACGGCGTTGACCAACTCTAGTCTCCCCATCCTAGACATGAGCTTGCCTTTCCATGGTTTTAGTCTGGAGCCAAATCTATCCAAGAGCGGTTGCCAATCAATTCTTCTCAGGCCTTTAAAGGTAAGAGGCAGGCCTAGGTATTTGCACGGGAAGGAGCCAAGAGTCCCACAAAAGGGGCCAAGATTTCCTGGATAGGAAGGTTGTCACACCTGATCGGAAAGGCAACCCATTTGTCCAAGTTCACCCTTAATCCAGTGACCTGCCCAAAAAGGTTTAGGAGACCCACAACAGCTTGCATCTCGCTCGCGACAGGGTTGAGGAAGAGGGCGGCATCATCAGCATAGAGGCTGGTGCTCATCCTAGCAGCCTGATGGAACACATTAGAGAGGAGGCCTTGATCTGTGGCCAACGCAAACAGCCTCTGAAGCGGCTCAAGGGCGAGAATAAAAAGCATGGGTGCAAGCGGGTCGCCCTGGCGCAGTCCTTTCTTACGAACTATCTTTTTTCTTGGCAGACCATTGAGCAAGATCCTGGAGGAAGAGGAACCCAAAATAATGGCCATGAGGTCACACCACCTGGAGGTGAATCCAAAAGCCCTCTGAACCTCAAAGAGGTAGTTCCAGTGAACAGAGTCGAAAACTTTTGCAAAGTCGAGCTTCAGGAACAATAGTGTCTTCTTTGTCATGTGGGCATTCTTTATTGAGTTCCGGACAAACAGGAAGTTATCATGGATCGATCTTCTCTTAATGAAAGCACTCTGTGAGGCAGAGATCAGATGTGGAAGGTCCACCGCTAAACGTGAGGCGAGAAGCTTTCCCAGAATCTTGGCAAAATTGTGCATCAAGCTGATAGGCCGGAAGTCCTTGGGAGAGGCAGCAGCATAGGACTTTGGGATTAGGGCAATGTGAGCACTATTTAGCAAGGACCAGCAATCGCCTCTGAGCAGTAACATTTGGTTAATAGCTGCCAGCAAATCGTGTTTCACTGTGTCCCAGCAAGCCAAATAGAAGCCACCAATAAAACCATCCGGGCCAAGCGCTTTCTCGCTGTGTAGCTCACTTACTGCCGATCTTAATTCTTCCATCGAGGCCGGCGCATCCATATGAGAGAGATCCCTGGAGGGCAGACCCAAAGCATTCCAGTTGAAAGTGACGGATCGGGGGGGAGAGGAGCCCAGTATCCCGTCGAAATAATCAAAGAGCAGATTCTCCTTAGAAGAGTGCTCTGTTACAGCCTCTCCCAAGTTATTAGTGAGAGACGAGATGAAATTTCTCCTCCTTCTCCCATTGGCCTGAAGATGAAAAAAATTGGTGTTGGCATCCCCATATTTGATCTTCGTGAACCTGGATCTTTGTCTCCACCTAATCCTGTCAAGAGCCGCATAGCCTAGAAGCTTGTTCTTTAGAGAGACTCTGAAGCTTCTCTCATCAGGGGAGAGTTGTCTTTCTTCTTGTGCAAGGTCCAGTTGAAAGATCAATTCGTTTGCCAAAAGCTCATTAAATCTGTGATTGAGACGCCCCTGCTTTGCCCAACACTTCAGGGCTTTTGCCACCCTGGAAAGCTTAATGTGCAGACGCTTGATGGGGTTGTTGGAATGAATCTGTTTGGTCCAGGCATTGGCAACCACTTGATGAAAACCTTGGAAATGCAACTAGGTGGCCTCAAATCTGAACCCACGGAAATGCTTCCTCTCGAGATTCTTTAAGATCATTGGGCAGTGATCAGAGATGCTAGTCGATATGGGGGTCAAGTGGCAGTGGGGGTAACGGAGCTCCCAATCCTTGGAGCAGAATACCCTGTCAATTTTGGTGTGAACCGTATTTTCCCTTTCATTTGACCAAGTGAAAAGCCTGCCAGAAAGAACAAACTCCCTGAGCTTGAGGTCGTCTATAAGTTTTCTGAAGCGCCCCATTGTCTGGAGATTAATATTGTCATTGCTCTTGTCGGAAACTTGGTAAATCATGTTGAAATCACCAAGTAGCAACCATTCCGAGGCCACCAGTGGCATGCAGGCCTTCAATTCCTCCATGAAAAGAATCTTCTCGGCATCAAGCTGAGGGCCATAGACCAGTCAGGGACCAGGAGGAGGTCGTGGAGAGGTCGACCATTGTGCCAGAGAGGAAATTAGTTCCCGAGGCCGCCTGATCCAAAGAGATAGAGAAACCATGCACGACGGCAATGATAATTCCACCACGGGTACCAACAGCCTCCTTGGCAATAAAACTGTCCGAGAAATTTGAACCCAAGCACTCAGCAACCACAGACTTATCCACCATAGCCAATTTGGTTTCTTGCAAACAAACAATATTGCAGGCAGCATCTTTGATCAGATTGAAAATCGTCCGCCGTCGGGCCGGACTATTTAGGCCTCTTACATTCCAGTTCAGGATTATGGGCTCCATAAGCAAACTAACAACACACAGCAGTCCGGACCGACTGACAACAGCAACCGCGGTGACCAAGGCAACCACAAACAGAGGGGGAACATGACGGAAACCCAGCTAACCAGGCAAGTGACACACGGAGATTGGGGAATCTCCAAAACCACCGGAAGGCCGAACCAAGAGAAAATAGCTGACATTTGGGAACTGGGAGACACTGGAGGAAAACTACGACACTAACGGCAAACAATCAGGCCACCGCTAGGCTCCCCAGGCCTCCCTTGTGGGTCGGAGCCGAGGCTTCCGGCATGGCCGTCACCGCCCCCATGAACAAGGGGGTGAGCGTCTTCTTGTACATCTCCGCGTATTTCTTGAGGCCCTCGTCCTTCGACTCCAGATCTTCAGGGGCGAGGCCGTTCTTCTTCATGAGCACCAGCTTGACCTTGTCCATCATTGCCATCCCAGCCGCGGGTTTTGCGGCCAGCCTCCCGCTGTGGCGGATGGTGGGGGAGGGTCTGTCCATGGCAGGCGGTGAGGGCGACCGTGGCGGCGCCGGGGTTGGAGGGGACTGGAGCAGGGGGGCGGCAGAGGGGGACAAAAGAAAGGCGGTGAAGGAGGCCAATTTCTCCGATCCCCCCGAGCCGATGCAACCCAGGATGTCGAGCAGGCCGGGCCTGGCAGCAAATGGGCTGCCCTCGATTTCGCCACTCGGAATCGAAGGCCCGGATTTTCCTTGCAGCTCGCTCTCGTTGGACGGGGCTGCAGACCCAGCCAAAGGCCCATAATCCACCTGCAC